GAAAAAGTCGGACAAATTAGGAGGATTTCCGTGCAGGGTTGCCACAGAATTTAGAAACGGAAATTCTCTGACATTTTCCCGACACATTTTGGTGAAATTCCTTGACCACTTAAGATGAGACGGACAGGGCCGGATTTACCAATAGGCTACATAGGCTATAGCCTAGGGCGCAACATTTTGAGGGGCGCAAAATTTTTGAGAATTTATTAAAAAACGTGACTTATTAAGACATGTCTACGTTGTGGTTGACAAAGGTATGTTTTAAAGGTGAATTTAAACATTTTCCGGACACCTAACATCCTCCTTCTGATCTGGAGGGGAGGGGCGTCTGGAAGGAATCCCCCCGAGAGCGCCTACTTTTAGGGGCGTCACCCTAAATTTAGCCTAAGGCGCTAAAAATGTAAATCCGGCCCTGGAGACGGATGGTTGAGAAGGCATAATTGAAAATAGTTTTCGGGCGAAATTTCTTCAAAATCTCAAACCCATCCTAGAAAGCAACAGAGGGTGACTTGACAAATTTTCTCTGACATTTTCGTCATTTTCCCAGACATTTTCCAGTTTCCCCTGACTGTGGCCACCCTGCCGGTTTTCTGCAGTGTATCTCCGCCGCTAGGGTGCCGTCCCCGCAGAAACTCATCAGCGGGTCGATTGTTGAATCGTTATCGAATGACCTTGATCGATATATAGCATTGTGAAGATAGGGAGTTATCGATCAGAATCATTCGATAACGATTCAACAATCGACTTGCAGGCAAATTCGTCGACGTCCTTCCGCGGCGGAAAGACGCGCCTATTTGGTTCCGTACCTTCATCAAACTTTTGAACAAAAAAAAAAACAAGCGGGAAAGTTCTAATACTGTCGTATTAGAAAAGCGCTCAGGTGTTAGTAAATGTATTTAATGAAGAAAGGACGTATAAACTCCGTCGACTTGCCTGGGAAATGGAAATAAAACATCAGCTGATACCAAACAAAGGTTACCAAGGAAACCGTAAACGCGTTTTTTCGTTTCCCGAAAATGATAGTCACCGTTGAGCTCATCAGGCGCGTTTTTTTTGGGCTTCATTTGAGTTCAACGATCAATTTCGATAAGAATTACTCTACCGCTAAGAAATTTTCTTATAGACAAACGATCGAAACTACCCGCGCATTACGTTAAAAGCGTAAAATACGGTTTTCACAGCTTTATTTATTTTAAAAATGGACCCCCCCCCCAAAAAAAAAGCCCACACATCGATGAGCTGGTGCGCCATTTAAACGCATTAGCACTAGTATACTAGTAGGTACCTACTCGGAGGCAGGTCGAAATCAAAAAGCGCTGCCTATCGGCTGAGCGCTTAATAAAACTAAAATTAGAGTTTCTTATTGTCCAAAGTGTCCCTTTGCTCATGACGGGCGCGCTCAAAGACTATAAAAGCTGAAAGAACAGATTTTCTTTCAGGCGAGCCTCGTTCGTTAGCAACATATTAATGAGTTATAATTCTATCTTTCTGGACCAATGGACCACTAGATAGGGTACGAATTTCAGCATTCTGATACATGCTTCTTAACCAAAATTTTACGTAAAACACGATGCACACAACGAAAATTACCGAAATTAACTCCTTCCGAAGATATTTAATGATTCTTGATGCGTGAATTCAAACCACCCGCTCATGAAAACTCAATGCTCTACGTGATTCACATCGCGCGCTAAACGTTATCATGACAGTCTCTGCGATATAAAAATCTGGCAACCTCAATCTTGACGGTTTGGCTCAGCTATAGCAAATTTCTTGTGGTTTGAACAACATATGATGGGAAATGAACATTGCTCGATGAAGAAGCTTGCTGAAACCGTTGTAGTGGGCGATTTGACTCACGTAGAGCTTTGAGTTTCTTGTGAGCGGGCAGTTCAAATTCCTCGTAACCAATGTGTAATAAAAACGATAATATCTTCGTTAGGAGTTGGTTTCAGTAATTTTCGTTGTGTGAATCGTGTTCTATGTGTAATTCTGGTTAAGAAACATGTATCAGATCGCTTAAATTCGTACCTTGTCTAGTGGTCCATTGGATTGCATTTTGCAAAAAGGAACCAGGAGCATTGCAGTGTTGCTAAATTTGTGCATCTGCTTTTGTCTTGGACGAAAAACCTGATTATCCATCGACAGTTTCTGTTTTCCTCGCTAAGACTGTAAATTTAAAACAAAAATTATCGTGTAGATTTCATATTTGTTCATGGTTTCAGTAACTTTATTGCGAAGGATGAAGTTGCACACCAATGGCACCATTGCAATGCTTCTGGTTCCTTTTTGCAAAATGCAATCCAATTGAGGCTTAGATTGCCAAGAGCAAAAGTGGGCATAGAATATGCGAGGTAACTAGAGTACCTTCACAGACAGAGTACGGTCATTCGTATCTTTTTACTACGGTAAAACTGTGCCGCTTTTTGTTTGGTCGACGAGTTATTAGCCCTTATGATGCTCCTACGGCCGTCAATAAACAAACAAGATGGCGACTCACCGTAATATCGATAAGAAGCTAAATTTGACAATAATTTCAATTATACGGCAGTAACAATTTAAACTAGCATATCTACGAATAACACATGAAAACACTATTAAATCGCCTTTATCATAGGAGGATGTAAGATATGCATAAACTCAAACTTGCTGGCTGATAACAGCCATCATGTTTGTTTTTTTACGGCCGGAAAAACATCGTATCAGCCTATTTTCTCGCGACCAATGAAAAACCGGCATAAAAATGGCCATACTCTGTCTTTTAAGGTACTCTAGAGGCAACTGGAGATAAGGCAGTTAACAGGTTGACATACCCTAGTTGGTAGAGCAATTCAAAATTTACGCGAGTTCGGTTCCAACTCCAACTCAAGAATACAAATATTTCGACTTTGGTGTGTTGCACAGTATCGCACCAAATTGAAGGCGTTTTAAGTCGGTCCAACCGCGACCTGTGGAGAGTGGAGTCTTGATGTGTTGATTTTCAGTGCTGCCTCGCTGCTTATAACTCCGTTTATACAAAATTAAAAGTTCAGTTAGTGGTTCCATTCGTTTTCTCGTAAAATATTCTTCAAAACACACCCTTTTCAGTTTAAAATGTGGCGAAATAAACAAACGTTTGTGGTTATAGTAGAGTTACGTGTTAGTTTAGTTTTAGGCAAAGGATAGCACTTACGGCTGTCTTGCCTACAACTCGTCTTACGTGAACATGAAAAATACCTTTTGAACATAGTTGAAAATGAAATTCGTCGGTTTTTAATCATCCCAACGATTTGAGAGCGCCCTTCGGGTGATCGGTGGAAATTCGACCAGAATCGAAGGCTTAATGAAGTTTCCTGCACAGACGCTTCTCAGCGCATTATCTCAAAACCTCATTCTTGCTACGGCTCACAGAAATTGGTTTTCACACATTGGTTTTCTCGTAAAATTTTCTTCTACTAGCACCCCTGAAAGTTTAAATTGTGACGAAATAAACATCAGAATTTTCGGTTTTAGTCGGAAATTTCATGCGTGACCTCTTTTATTGACTCAATCCACTGTGCGGCTCTCTTCGCTTTCACGACATCGTAGACGAGACGGGGTATGGGTGATTTCACGATAACAGGAATAGTTAAAATGTGAAATACCTGAGAAATAAAAGTGCACCAATTTTAACAGGATTTCATTACCTCATTCTAAAGGTATTTAACTTCCTTTTTCCAGCTTTGGCACGCTCTATTTTGATTCAGTGCAAAGTTAAAGTGATTGATAAACAAGCCATTGAATCAGGTATCAGCGCTTTCCGCGGGACTGCTGGAGGTCCACGCAAACATGGCGGCCCTGCCAAATTGTGTCGGTTACGTAACAGACACAGCGTAACCGACACTCAAAAATGTGAGATTAAAGATGATACAAAAGATGAAACTTGGCAATTCTTGAGTTATGAGGTGGAATTAATGCTGCCTTAAAAGTTTTCTAAACTTTGGAGACTTCGTTTTAGTTTAATACTATTAAATTGAGGTTTTTGCGTAGTGAGGAATTAGTGCTACACACGTAAAAATCACTGGTTTTCATAATAATTTAAGTTTTCATTGTAAAAAAAACTGACTTATCAGTAATGGTTTTGTCAAGAAGACTTCAGCGAACAATTTGATGGCAGTTTTGAAACTCCTGACTCCATCTGGCGAGATAAACACTGCACTTAATACAACTGCAAAAATTTGTTGCCAAATGTGGCGACACCTCTTTCTTATGACTTTTCTCGCTCAATAATAAACATTTCAGTTCAAACTGGCAATTTTCTTGAACACTGGAGTCTCTTTTCAGCAAATATTGCCAAAGAGTTCATGATCAGTACTGATATGTTACCGCAAATTGCTCTTTTGCTTCAAAATCGGGGTTGGCGACGCGTAACCGACCGGACATTTTCGGCCTTTAAAGTCTCATATTATTAAATATAATAATAATTCATCATATTTTTTAGCATGGATAGGTTCAGGGACATCATTCCTATTGATTAATTAATTTGGTTTTCAATCGTTTTGCCCTATGTCGTTCATAACCCACGGCGACACGACTATTCCTATTATCGTGAAATCACCCGTATAAATTTCCAAGAAAAAAATTCACTTTAGGTTGGGAGAGCGCAGTATCGAGGCGCCTTGAGATTATGCAAAAAATAGTATTAGTATATTATAAATAATAAAAAAATCCTATTCGTGGAAGCTGGTGGTAGCGATGGAAAAAAGAGGCACTTCGAGTAAAAAGGTACTAACGGCAACCAGTAGTGGCGTGGCGTACTTTGCGATATATCCATTGATCTGCCATTTTAACCTATGGAGAAAGCTCGACAAACAGTATGTTCGCAAAGATCACTTCAAAAATCGATTCTTTACCATAGCTTCAAATGGGGAAAAATCGAAAATCGATCCTTCGCTCGGGACGATAGAGGCTCCCGCTCCCTCTCGACTAGGATGAATGAGTGTAAAATCTAAATTACAGTATTGCCGGAGACAAGTCATAAATTTAAATGGACTTTTTTATCTACAACTTTATTAGAGGTACAAAATTTACACACATTAACACTGAGAGAAGTGGAAATACAGAAACGACGGGAAAACAATGGGTTTTCACCGGAGATCTAACAAATAATGGACATATTTATATTATTCTTTTCGGATTAGGAACAAAATATCAGTTACAAAGCTACGTCTTAAACGACCCAGAAAATTGCGTCATTCATTCAAAAGACGGAGTCTAAAAATTGGCAGTAAAGCCAATTTTTAGACCACCATCATGCAAGTATGTTGAACTATATTTCAGGATCTTTGAGGGATTTTTCGCACTCTGCATTACGGAACTATCTTAAATGGACTAAATTTCCAGTTTCAGAACTACACATTTTTGCTCATCAGTAGAAACATCTGTGTGCGAAGGACAAAATTTGATAAAAAAATATTCACAAATTTTCTTAAAAATTCATATTTCATCAAAGGAGATACGGCAACTTCTAGAGGATCAAACGCCACTCTTCCTTCGCGCGGCAGGACATTTGGACTAAATTTTGCAATTCGAAACTAAAATTCCGGGCTCAGTTTAGAAACAACTATTTATGAGCCATAGGTTCCTCTGTGCACATCGGTGTTATCATAGGTGAGCCAAACGCTGTAATTCCTGATTACAAAATGCATTCCAAGTATTAGACATTGCCTTATCAATTACGATAGAGAAATCTCATCCGAATTCCAAAAATAGTTTATTAAAAATAATACGAATTTCGGATTTTCTGTTATATTCCGGAGTTTCAGAGGTAGGATTAATTATAAAGTTGATAAAATAACGGGAGATTTCACAACGCTCATAAAGAAGTAGGTATTCGAAAATTCAATTGGAAATATCTGCAATATATTCTCTTCGAAAATATGATGAAGAGAAAATAACGTCAGTAAGAAGCAAAAATAGGAACAAGCTTTCATACTCAATAGGTCTTGGGCCTCTAGCCAAGACAGGAATTAGAGCAATGAGCGACGTGTTTCCTCTATAAAATTTACGATGAAAGCGGAGTCGCACGACAGCCGGGAAGAGTGGAGAAGAACTCCATAACAAATGTAGGTGCTTACGATAAACAATGCTAGAATGGCAAAAATACGAAGGACGTCATCTGTATGGTCTCAACTTATAGTTTGATCATCAAAATTATGGTTTTTTATCCAGAAAGCGATCGAATATTTACCACCGGAGAGCCTTTTTCAGAAAACTAGGCAGAGCGATGCCGGCAACTAAAAGATCCACGATCGGTGTGTGTCGTATGCGTCCATTTAAAGGACTTTTCCTGGACAAGACGGAAGAGCACTGAGTGAAAATGTATGGTTTATAGCAGTCAGGAACAAGAGACCCTCCAATAGTATCTTGGCCATGTTGGAAAATATTATATTCGGGTCCTACTTACACGGTTGATGTTCAAGAACGTGTTGGCAGTTCCGTTTTGCAAACAAGCAGAAAATGGCGGAAGTTTGGGAAACTTGTTTGGCTCATGACGTCACCCGAAGCTCATCATCCCCCATATAGGCAGGTCAAAAGCCGATATTTGGGTGACGACCTTTGCTCCCTTATCATTGTTCATGTGGTTTTGTTCAATCCCCGAAAGTAAAAGCTTCTTCTTGTCGCCAGGAGGTCAGTGAAGGGTCTCTTGTCTCTGACCGCAGTATGCTCCGTCGAATGCGTCTTTTGCCGAAAAGGAGATGAGCAGGGAGTGCAAGTCTAGGGTTCTACCCCAGTATACATTCGCATATGTCTCTTTAAAGTAACATTCTTGGAGAGGAGAGCCGAACAATGCGTTCGCATGTGTATCTTAAAATTGCCTTCTGTACTGAATTGGGAGGAGCAATAACTGCAACTGAATAGTTACTCATCAGTATGCGTTCGCATGTGTACCTTCAAATTCTCTTTCCTAGGGAAGGAGGAGGAGCAATGACTGCAACTGAATGGTTTCTCACCAGTGTGTTTCCGCATGTGTTTCTTCAAATTGCCTTCTATACTGAATTGGGAGGAGCAATGACTGCAACTATATGGTTTCTCACCAGTATGCGTTCGCATGTGTACCTTCAAATTATCTTTCCTAGGGAAGGAGGAGGAGCAATGACTGCAACTGAATGGTTTCTCACCAGTGTGCTTCCGCATGTGTTTCTTCAAATTGCCTTCTATACTGAATTGGGAGGAGCAATGACTGCAACTATATGGTTTCTCTCCAGTATGCGTCCGGATGTGAATTATCAAATTATTTTTCTGAGAAAAGCATGCCGTGCAATAACTGCAACTATATGGTTTCTCTCCAGTGTGCGTACGAACATGTTCTATTAAAGACTGTTTGCGAGCGAAGCATGCAGTGCAATGACTGCAACTGAATGGTTTCTCACCAGTATGCGTCCGCATGTGTGTTGTCAAATGACTTTTCTTAACAAATGAGGCCGAGCAATGACTGCAACTGAATGGTTTCTCTCCAGTATGCGTCCGGATATGTGTTGTCAAAACACTTTTCTGAGCAAATGAGGCCGTGCAATGGTTGCAACTGAATGGTTTCTCACCAGTATGCGTTCGAACATGTTCCGTTAAATATTTTTTGCGAGCAAAGCATGCTGTGCAATGACTGCAACTATATGGTTTTTCACCAGTATGCGTGCGAATATGTGCCGTCAATGACTGTTTTTGAGCGAAGAATGACGTGCAATGACTGCAACTGAATGGTTTCTCGCCAGTGTTCGTTCGCATGTGTATCTTGAAATTGCCTTCTGTACTGAATTGGGAGGAGCAATGACTGCAACTGAATGGTTTCTCACCAGTGTGCTTCCGGATGCGTTTCTTCAAATTGCCTTCTACACTGAATTGGGAGGAGCAATGACTGCAACTATATGGTTTCTCTCCAGTATGCGTCCGGATGTGAATTATCAAATTATTTTTCTGAGAAAAGCATGCCGTGCAATAACTGCAACTATATGGTTTCTCGGCAGTGTGCGTTCGCATGTGTGTTGTCAAAGGACTTTTCATAAGAAATGAGGCCGAGCAATGACTGCAACTGAATGGTTTCTCTCCAGTATGCGTCCGGATATGTGTTGTCAAAACACTTTTCTGAGCAAATGAGGCCGTGCAATGGTTGCAACTGAATGGTTTCTCACCAGTATGCGTTCGAACATGTTTCGATAAAGTATTTTTGCGAGCAAAGCATGCTGTGCAATGACTGCAACTATATGGTTTTTCACCCGTATGCGTGCGAATATGTGCCGTCAAAGACTGTTTTTGAGCGAAGAATGCCTTGCAATGACTGCAACTGAATGGTTTCTCACCAGTATGCGTACGAACATGTTCCGTTAAAGAATGTTTGCGGGCAAAGCATGCTGTGCAATGACTGCAACTATATGGTTTCTCACCAGTATGCGTGCGAATATGTGCCGTCAAAGACTGTTTGTGAGCGAAGCATGCAGTGCAATGACTGCAAGTGAATGGTTTCTCACCAGTATGCGCTCGCATGTGTCTCGCTAAATTGCCTTTTCTACTGAATTGGGAGGAGCAATGACTGCAACTGAATGGTTCCTCGCCAGGGTGCGTTTGCATGTGAGTTGTTAAAGCGCTTTTGGAAGAAAAAAGGCTCGTACACTCGCCGCATGTGAATGGTTTCTCACCAGTGTGCGTTCGAATATGTTCGACCAACTCGGATTCTGATGCGTTTGTCTGGGTAGAGGGTTCCCGCTTAAATTCGATATTCGTTTGTGAAAGGTCAAACCAATTTTCATTACATTGGTCGGGAAGTGGAGAGCTCATGATCTCCCTCTTCACTCGCGCTGTAACGGTGACAAAATCACGAATATCATTCTCCAAATCGTGTTCTGCTCCTCCTCGTCCCAACCTGAGTTCTGACTCATCCGTCTGGGGAGTGAGTTCACTCTTAATGTCAATACTTGTGTGTAGCTGCTTAGTCCAACTTGCATCAACTGTTTCATCCTCGCATTCGATTTTGGGGGGAAGAGCGGAGGGAGAATAGAACATGGACGAGACCGAGGTCTCTTGGTTCTCTTCTACTGATGCAAGTCGGGTATTGTTGGAATCTTCAAGGCGACTTTCTACAGATTGGGAAGATGGGTTGCCAGACATACCGCTAGACTCCGGGCTGGTGCACTCTTCAGGTACAGCCTGCATTGAAGGGCTCGTGCAAGAAATCCTCGACACGTCTCCCTGGGGATCCTCTTTTACAGTTTGGTGGAATCACTGGATTGTAGTATTCAGGTGTGCTGAGTGCTGAGTGCTCTTTCCGTTAGATTTTTGGCGTCCGCATTCTCCATTCAAAATCCTGAACAAAATAAATATAAAGTTTTGTAAGCAACGCTTTGGACGACCGATTACGATACGAGGTATTCGATAGAGGGATTGAAAGACGGAGAGATATTTTTTGCGATAAATCGATTGATCTGCCATTTAAACCTATGGACGAGGATCTATGTACACTGTACAGAGTGTCGTAACGAAAACCTTAATAATAGATTCTTTAACATAGCTTCAGATGGGAAAATTTCGATAATCGATCATTCACGCCACGCCACTGGATACGAATACCCGCGGGATCGAAGTATGCGATGTTTCGAATAACATAGGTAGTTAAGACAGAAAACATCATAATCCGAGAAGACAAGAACCCCGAAATTCAGCGGCGTGCGGCGTCCATTGCGATATTTATAATTTCATCTTTAATGCCACCGATCCACGATTTTGCTGGATGTCACCGCCGTCTTCTTTTCGGAGGGACCCAATCTAGACCCTTCTTAGGCAATCTGTCATCCGCCTTTCGTTGAGCATGGCCACACCGGACAAGCTGTTCGCTTATAATATCATGCCCGATGTTCTGCTCGGCGCTCATGATCTGCATAGAGTACATAGAGTCGTAATGTGAATGGGAGAGTTGGCTCCTTGTTCTGCTCCACGAGTTCCGAGCCCGGTGTGCGCCGAGTTCGGGTCACTTTTTCGATACATATTCGATCCAAAATGGCGGTATGGAATACGTGGTGATTCCAATCTTCTTTGTTTACAGCGGATGGCCGGGTACCCGTGTATCGCAAACAATCGATTATGTATCGAAAAAGTGGCCCGGCGTCACACAGGAGTCTCGGAATTCGGGACCTGGAAAATGCTTCAAAGTGGCGCCAGCTCACCCGCTTACATTTCGACTCTATGTACTTTATGATGATCTCACGCACTCTTTCGTTTCCTGCGTGATCCCTCCTCGAGATGAGGACGTACACGCAACAGCAATACTTATGCATCTGAATGATATGAGCTGCATTTTATAATTTCTTCAATGTTGGAGTCGGTAATCTACCATCAGATGGTGCTTTTCAAAATCTATCGTAAATTTCTGCAATTTCATGAAAAATTGCCACCCTGCATGAGAAATGAATGAATTAACGCAAATTTTCCCGACAAAAAGCACACGTCCCGCGAATCTTTAAACAATTCGATCGGATGAGCCTTCGATATGCGACGACTTCAAACTCTAATCCATGACCTCTGAGGCATGTATCGGACTAACCCTGATTTCTGGACCTATCCTCTTATACCAATCCCACGGATATGATTCTTATTTCTGTGATTATCGAGAGTAGCGGTAGCTATCCCCATTTGAGGAGAATGGCGTCCCCTTAATCTGACCATTGATTCGGTGGTTTGAACTCGACTGCAGCCCAAACGACTGCACGGATTCGAACGAAAATTTACGATCGAACAGCAGCCGAGATAGATTCAAGGCCACGTTCGTCAGTTCATTAGGGTACGGAACGTAAGGCTCGTCTTTCCACGGCGCCTGGACGCCGCGCCGGCGAAAAACGCTGTTTCCAAGTCGAGGGTGAGAAGACGCTCACATTTTGGAGCACGGCACCTAAGGAGCGGAATTCTTGGGTTTATCCCTCCGCGTCCGTTGTCAATTTTCGGAATTTTCATTGATCGGACCAGTATGCTCTGAGTTGCGAAATTGATCAGACGGGCTTTTTTCAGGAGGTTATGGATTCGATCGACAAAAATCGACCGAAAAATGTAAACGGAAATCGATCGACCCCGATTTGATCGACAAATTATTAAAGAGCGGTGTCGATTCGATCGACATATATCGATCGGGGGGAAAAAAACGTGAAACGATCGACAGTTAATTTTTAAAAAACCTGTATCATAGTTCCATCGAGATGAATCGATCGAAAAACTAAAACGTGAACCGATCGACGTGATTCGATCGATTCACGGCCTTTGTCGATCATTTCAAGGGTTTGTCGATCGACTCATGGCTTTTGTCGATACATCAACGGGTTTTTCAATCGACTCACGGGTTTTTCAATTGACTCACGGGTTTTTCAATCGACTCACGGGTTTGTCGATCGACTCACAGCTTTAGTCAATCGACTCACGGGTTTGTCGAACGATTCAGGCCTTTTGTCGATCGATTCACGGGTTAGTCGATCGAACCCAAAACTAAACGCATTCGAAAATCGGTAGGAAAAGCAGCGGACAGAGCGGACTTTGTCGGAGACGCCGATCAGTTGGTGACAAATCGGAGCATCCACCATAGGCATTTTTCGCAGCGTCTCTTTGCCGCTAAGGTGTCGTCTCACGCAAAAGCATCAAGCAGATTCATCGGCGTCTAACCGCGGCGTCCAGACGCCGCGGAAACACGTGTCTATTCGGTTCTGTACCTCCATCAGACTTTTGAACTTAAAAAATAAGACTGAAAATTAGAGTTTCCGATCAAAGGTGCCCAGTGCCCATGGTTCATGACAGGCGCGCTCAGAGACTATAAAAGCCCAAAGAACAGATTTTCTTTCAGGTGAGCCTCCTTCCTTAGCAACATTAATGATGTTAATTCTTTCTTTCTGGACCAATTGAGGATTAGATTGCCACGAGCAAAAGTGGGCGATAAAATATGCAAAGTAACTGGAGATAAGACAGTTAACAGGCTGACATGCCTTAGTTGGTAGAGCAATTCACAATTTACGCGAGTTCGGTTCCGACTACAACTCAAGAATACAAATATTTCGACTTCGGTGTGTAGCACAGTATCGCACCCAATTGAAGGCGTTTTATGTTGGCCCGACCACAACCTACGGAAAGTGGAGTCTTGATGTTTTGTCATAGAGTGCTGCTTAGCTGCATTAGTTGAATGCAAAATGATGAGAACTTTTCACTCATATTAGTGTCAGGAGGAGCTGATGTCTTTTCGGGTTGAAATAAAGTATTCAGCTTTATTTTAGACACATGATAAAAGTCTGACTTTTTTATACCGAGAAATCCCTTTCCCATGCTAAATATACTTCCCGTCATAAAGTTCCATCTGATACCGAGTTTCGAAAAAATCGATTGAACACACTTTTTAATGAGGGCGCTCAACGGAGCTCACAATGTCAGCGCAGATACCTGTGCGAACCCGTCCTACCGCACAGTGGATCGAGTCAATAGGAGAGGGCGAACAAAATTTGGATACTTGAAACGCTTATATCTCCGTTTATACAAAATTAAAAGTACGGTTAGTGGTTCAATTGCTTTTCTCGTGAAATATTCTTCAAGAGAAACCCCTTAAAGACTGTAAATTTAAGACAAAATTTGTAAACTGATTGCGGCAGACGAACTCATACGATAGTATGTTGGAGTTTTTTGCCAAGGTGCGTTAAAAATTCAGCATAAAGCTGAAAATCTCAATACAGAGGGAAAAAGCTGGTTCGAGCACCAATTTTCCGATTGAACGATTGTATTGAGATTTTCAGCTTTATTCTGAATTTTTAACGCACGTTGGCAAAAAACTCCAACATACAAAAATTATCTGGTAAATTTCATATTTTTTCATGGTTTCAGTAATTTTATTGCGAAGGATGAAGTTGCACAATCTTAGAACCATTGCAATGCTTCCGGTTCCTTTTTGCAAAATGCAATCCAATTGAGGCCAAGAGCAAGAGGGGGGATAATATATGCGAGGTAACTTGGGATACGGCAGTTAACAGGTTGACATGCCTTAGTTGGTGGAGCAATTCACAATTTACGCGAGTTCGGTTCCAACGCCAACTCAAGAATACGAATATTTCGACTTTGGTGTGTTGCACAGTATCGCACACAAATTGAAGGCGTTTTATGTTGGTCCAACCGCGACCTGCGGAGACGAGGAGTCTTGATGTGATGAATTTGAGTGCTGCCTATGGCTCATGCGTACTTTTCACTCATATTGGTGTTAGGCAGAGCTGATGACTTTCCGCGTTGAAATGAGGTGGTATGAAGCTAAGGAAAAGGATCGATGGACTTGACAGAGTTGTCGCAACGAACGCCTTGATAATCGATTCATTACCACAGCTTTAAATGGGGGAAGAATCGATAATCGATCATTAGCGCCACGCCACTGGTTCTATGGGCTTCTTCGTGAAATATTCTTCAAAACACACCACTTTCAGTTTAAAATGTGGCGAAATAGACAAATATTTGTGGTTTTAGTAGAGTTACCTGTTAGTTTAGTTTTAGGCAAAGGATAGCACTTACAGCTGTCTTGCCTACAACTAGTCTTACGTGAACATGAAAAATTCTTTTTGAATATAGTTGAAAATGAAATTCGTCGGTTTTTAATCAACCAAACGATTTGAGAGTGCCCTTCGGGTGATCGATGGAAATTCGACAAAGATCGAAGGCTCAATGAACTTTTGGTGAACCAATGAACAATTGGTTGTCACACATTGGTTTTTTCGTAAAACTTTCTTCTACTGGCACCCCTGAAAGTTTAAATTGTGACGAAATAAACATCAAAATTTGCGGTTTTAGTCGGAAATTTCATGTGCGACCTCTTTTATTGACTCAATCCACTGTGCGGCCCTCTTCGCTATCACGACATCGTAGACGAGACGGGGTATGAATTTCCAAGAAAAAAATTCACTTAAGCTTGGGAGAGCGCAGTATCGAGGCGCCTTGAAGTTATGCAAAAAATAGTATTGGTATACTATAGTAATAAAAAAATTACTTGCTGGCTGGTGGTTGCGATGGAAAAAAAAGGCACTTCGAGTAAAAAAGTACTAACGGCAACCAGTAGTGGCGTGGCACACTTTGCGATATATCCATTGATCTGCCATTTTAACCTATGGAGAAAGCTCGACAAACAGTATGTTCGCTAAGATCACTTCAAAAATCGATTCTTTACCATAGCTTCAAATGGGGAAAAATCGAAAATTGATCTTTCGCTCAGGACGACAGAGGCTCCCGCTCCCTCTCGACTAGGATGAATGAGTGTAAAATCTAAATTACTGTATTTCCGGGGACAAGTCATAAATTTTAACGAACTCTTTTATCCACAACTTTATTAGAGACACATAATTGACACACATTCACACAGAAACATGTGGAAATACAGGAACGACGGGAAAATAATAGGTTTTCACCAGAGATCTAGCGAATAATGGGCATAGGTATTCATATCATTCTTTTCGTATTAGAAACAAAATATCAGTTACAAAGCTACGTCTTAAACGACCCAGAAAATTGCGTCATTTTTTCAAAAGACGGAGTCTAAAAATTTTCAGAAAAAAGATCCAGAAAATTTTGACAATTTCTGACGAAACTGACCCTCACTTTATCTATAAGATTTAGGCCCTTTCAAGAATTGGATCGCATTTAGCCACAAAAAGGAACCAGCGCGATTAAGGTGTTTTCGAAGCCGAGCAACTTTTCTTTTTCTTTCAAAAACACTTAATACATATTCAGTATTAAAACTTACGCAATTAATTTCCTTTAAAATAAGCAATATTTTGATGAGAAGCCAACACTATTTGATTTTCTGGGAGATTTCTTAGATAAATATGAAGCAGCAACATTTCTTAAACACTGTAATCGCGCGGGTTCCTTTTCACTACATGCGATCCAATTCACCCCCTTTGGCTGGGCAGTAAATAGGATTGGAAGCTTCTGGTGATTTCTAAGGGAGTTCTCTCAAATGAGTCAGTCGCGCTGGTCACAAAATCGTGTTTTCACGCTTGATTTTTGCGGATAGCTGAAAATAATAATATCTGCCCAAACAGCAACTTTCTACGTTTAAGATTAACCGAGATATCGCCGATTGGAAAGACAGGTTTCTGGCGTCATCCACCTCCGTAGTGGCACCCTTGGTTTCTTCTACATGCTTTCATCCAAGTTTCATGTTGAGTATGACCAGTGCAAATTTGTGTCTCCCTGACTGATGAAAGCAAAACGGGGGAAACCAAGGGTGTCACTACCGCGGTGGACGACGTCAAAAACCCGGATTTTCGAAGGGCAATATCTCGCTTAATATTGAACGTAGAAAGTTGCTCCCTAAGCTACAATCTAAACTAAATGAGGTTAACATTAGGAACAGAGATGATGTGGAGCGACTAAAAATGATAGCCCAGAATTGTGATAAATAATCAAAACGAACAGAACAATAATTATTATGTTTTGATCAATAATAGACGATTCTTTTGAAAACATGTAACACTCATATTTTCCTCTTTTTTAATAACTAGTCCGCTTAAATGAGCCACCATCATGCATTATGTTGAACTATATTTCAGGATCTTTGAGGCATTTTTCGCACTCTGCATTACGGAACTATCTTAAATGGACTAAATTTCCAGTTTCAGAACTACACATTTTGGCTCATCAGTAGAAACACCTGTGTGCGAAGGACAAAATTTGATAAAAAATATTCACAAATTTTCTTAAAAATTCATATTTCATCAAAAGAGATAAGGCAACTTCTAGAGGCTCAAACGCCATTCTTCCTTTGCGCGGCAGCACATTGGGACTAAATTTTGCAATTCGGAGCTAAAATTCCGGGCTCAGTTTAGAAACAACTATTTATGAACCATTGGTTCCTCTATGCACATCGGTGTTATCATAGATGAGCCAAACGCTGTAATTCCTGATTACAAAATGCATTCCAAATATTAGACATTGCCTTATCAATTACGATAGAGAAATCTCATCCAAATTCCAAAAATAGTTTAACAAAAATAATACGAATTTCGGATTTTCTGTTATATTCCGGAGTTTCAGAGGTAGGATTAATTATAAAGTTGATAAAATAACGGGAGATTTCACAGCGCTCATAAAGAAGTAGGTATTCGAAAATTCAATTGGAAATATCTGCAATATATTCACTTCGAAAATATGATGAAGAGAAAATAACGTCGGAAAGAAGCAAAATATGAACAAGCTTTCATACTCAATAGGGCTTGGGCCTCTAGCCAAGACAGGAATTAGAGCAATGAGCGACGTGTTTCCTCTATAAAATTTTACGAGGAAATCGGAGTCGCAAGACAGCCGGGAAGAGTGGAGAAGAACTCCATAACAAATATAGGTGCTTACGATAAACAATGCTAGAATGGCAAAAATACGAAGGACGTCATCTGTATGGTCTCAACTTATAGTTTGATCATCTAAATTATGGTTTTTTATCCAGAAAGCGATCGAATATTTACCACTGGAGAGCCTTTTTCAGAAAACTAGGCAGAGCGATGCCTGCAACTAAAAGATCCACGATCGGTTTGTGTCGTATGCGTCCATTTAAAGGACTTTTCCTGGACAAAAAGGAAGAGCACTGAGTGAAAATGTATGGTTTGTAGCAGTCAGGAACAAGAGACCCTCCACCAGTATCTTGGCCATGTTGGAAAATTTTTGTTCGGCTCTTACTTACATGGTTGAAGTTATACAACGTGTTGGGAGTTCCGTTTTGCAAACAAGCCGGAAATTGCGGAAGTTTGGGAAACTTGTTTGGCTCATGACGTCACCCGAAGCTCATCATCCCCCATATAGGGAGGTCAAAAGCCGATATTTGGGTGATGAATGTTGCTCCCTTATCATTGTTCATGTGGTATTGTTCAATCCCCGAAAGTAAAAGCTTCCTCTTGTCGCCAAGAGGTCAGTGAGGGGTCTCTTGTCTCTGACCGCAGTTTGCTCCGTCGAATGCGTCTTTTGCCGAAAAGGGAATGAGCAGGGAGTGCAAGTCTAGGGTTCTACCCCAGTATGCATTCGCATATGTCTCTTTGAAGTCACATTCTTGGAGAAGAAAGCCGAACAATGACTTCAACTGAACGGTCTCTCATCTGTGTGCGTGCGAACATGTTCCGTTAAAGACTGTTTGTGAGCGAAGCATGCCGTGCAAAGACTGCAAATGAATGCTTACTCACCAGTATGCGTGCCAATATGTGTCAATAAAGACTGCTTGTAAGCAAAGCATGACGTACAATAACTGCAACTGAATGGTTTCTCGCCGGTGTGCGTTCGCATGTGTACATTCAAATTTGGTTTACTACGGAACGAGGAGGAGCAATGACTGCAATTGAATGGTTTCTCTCCGGTATGCGTCCGGGTGTGTGATGTCAAAGTACTTTTCTGAGCAAATGAGGCCGTGCATTGACTGCAACTGAATGGTTTCTCACCAGTATGCGTGTGAAGATGTGCCGTTAAAGTTTTTTTGAGAGCAAAGCATGCCGTGCATTGACTGCAACTGAATGGTTTCTCACCAGTATGTGTACGAACATGTTGTATTAAAGACTGTTTGCGAGCAAAGCATGCCGTGCATTGACTGCAACTGAAAGGTTTCTCACCAGTATGCGTGCGAAGATGTGCCGTTAAATACTGTTTGCAAGCAAAGCTAGCCGTGCAATGACTGCAACTAAATGGTTTTTCACCAGTATGCGTGCGAGCATGTGCCTTTAAATATTTTTTGTGAGCAAAGCATGCCCCGCAATGACTGCAACTGAATGGTTTCTCACCAGTATGCGTATGAACATGTTCTAATAAAGAATGTTTGCGAGTAAAGCATGCCGTACAATGACTGCAACTGAATGGTTTTTCGCCAGTGTGCGTTCGCATGTGTATTTTCAAATTGCCTTCTATACTGAATTGGGAGGAGCAATGACTGCAACTGAATGGTTTCTCACCAGTATGCGTCCGGATGTGAATTATCAAATTATATTTCTGAGAAAAGCATGCCGTGCAATAACTGCAACTATATGGTTTCACGGCAGTGTGCGTTCGCATGTGTGTTGTCAAATGACTTTTCATAAGAAATGAGGCCGAGCAATGACTGCAACTGAATGGTTTCTCTCCAGTATGCGTCCGGATGTGTGTTGTCAAATGACTTTTCTGAGCAAATGAGGCCGTACAATGGTTGCAACTGAATGGTTTCTCACCAGTATGCGTTCGAACATGTTTCGTTAAACAATTTTTGCGAGCAAAGCATGCTGTGCAATGACTGCAACTATATGGTTTTTCACCAGTATGCGTGCGAATGTGTGCCGTCAAAGACTGTTTTTGAGCGAAGCATGCAGTGCAATGACTGCAACTGAATGGGTTCTCACCAGTATGCGTCCGGATGTGTATTGTCAAATGATTTTTCTGAGCAAATGAGGCCGTGCAATGGTTGCAACTGAATGGTTTCTCACCAGTATGCGTTCGCATGTGTCTTGCCAAATTACCTTTTGTACTGAATTGGGAGGAGCAATGACTGCAACTGAATGGTTCCTCCCCAGTATGCCTGCGTACATGTTCCGTTAAACGACGTTTCCGAGCGAAGCATGCCGTGCAATGACTGCAACTGAATGGTTTCTCACCAGTATGCGTGCGAACATGTTCTGTTAAATACTGTTTGTGAGCGAAGCATGCAGTGCAATGACTGCAACTGAATGGTTTCTCACCAGTATGCGTCCGCATGTGTCTCTTCAAATGGGCTTTTGTACTGAATTGGGAGGAGCAATGACTGCAACTGAATGGTTTCTCGGCAGGGTGCGTTTGCATGTGTGTAGTCAAAGCGCTTTTAGAAGAAAAGAGGCTCGTACACTCGCCGCATGTGAATGGTTTCTCACCAGCGTGCGTTCGAATATGTTCGACCGACTCGGATTCCGATTCGTTTGTCTGGGTAGAGGGTTCCCTCTTAAATTCGATATTCGTTTGTGAAAGGTCAAGCCAATTTTCATTACATTGGTCGGGAAGTGGAGAGCTCATGATCTCCCTCTTCACTCGCGCTGTAACGGTGACAAAATCACGAATATCATTCTCCAAATCGTGTTCTGCTCCTCCTCGTCCCAACTTGAGTTCTGACTCATCCGTCTGGGGAGTGAGTTCACTCTTAATATCAATACTTGTGTGTAGCTGGTTAGTCCAACTTGCATTAACTGTTTCATCCTCGCATTCTATTTTGGGGGGAAGAGCGGAGGGAGAATCGAAGATGGACGAGACCGAGGTCTCTTGGTTCTCTTCTACTGATGCAAGTCGGGTATTGTTGGAATCTTCAAGGCGACTTTCTACAGATTGGGAAGATGGGTTGCCAGACATACCGCTAGACTCCGGGCTGGTGCACTCTTCAGGTGCAGCCTGCATTGAAGGGCTCGTGCAAGAAATCCTCGACAAGTCTCCCTGGGGATCCTCTTTCACAGTTTGGTGGAATCACTGGATTGTAGTCTTCAGGTGTGCTGAGTGGTGTGTGCTGTTTACGTTAGATTTTTGGCGTCGGTATGCTCCATTCAAAATCCTGAACAAAATAAATATAAAGTTTTGTAAACAACGCTTTGGACGACCGATTACGATAGGAGATATTCGATGGAGGGATTGAAAGACGGAGAGATATTTTTTACGATAAATCGATTGATCTGCCATTTAAACCTATGGACGAGGATCTATGTACACTGTACAGGGTGTTCATGGCCACACCGGACAAGCTGTTCGGTTATAATATCATGCCCGATGTTCTGCTCGGCGCTCATGATCTAAATAGAGTACATAGAGTCTTAAAGTGTAAATGGCAGAGCTGGCGCCATGTTCTGCTCGACGAGTTCCGAGCCCGGTGTGCGCCGAGTTCGGGTCACTTTTTCGATACATGTTCGATCCAAAATGGCGGTATGGAATACGCGGTGATTCCAATCTTCTTTGTTTACATCGGATGGCCGGGTACCCGTGTATCGCAAACAATCGATTATGTATCGAAAAAGTGGCCCGGCGTCACACAGGAGTCTCGGAATTCGGGACCCGGAAAATGCTTAAAAGTGGCGCCGCGCCAGCTCACCCGCTTACATTACGACTCTATATGTATGTACTCTATGATGATCTCACGCACTCTTTAGTTCCTTCCGTGATCCCTCCTCGAGATGAGGACGTACACGCAACAGCAATACGTATGCATCTGAATGATATGAGCTGCATTTTATAATTTCTTCAATGTTGGAGTCGGTAATCTACCATTAGATGATGCTTTTCAAAATCTATCGTAAATTTCTGCAATTTCATGAAAAATTGCCACCCTGCATGAGAAATGAATGAATTAACGCAAATTTTCCCAACAAAAAGCACACGTCCCGCTAATCTTAAAACAATCTGATCGGATGAGCCATCGATATGCGACGACTTCAAACTCTAATCCCGGACCTCTGAGGCATGTATCGGACTAATCCTGCTTTCTGGACCTATCTTCTTTTACCAATCCCACGGATAAGATTCTTGTTTCCGTGATTATCGAGAGTGACGGTATGTGGCTACCCCCACTCGAGGAAAATGGCGTCCCCTTGATCTGTACATTGATTCGGTTTGAACTCGACTACAGCCCAAACGACTACACGGATTCATACGAAAATTTGAATTTCACGACGATCTAATAGCAGCCGAGGTAGATTCAAGGCCACGTTCGTCATTTCGTTAGGGTACAAAACCTATCATCAGACTTTTGAACTTAAAAAATAAGACTGAAAATTAGAGTTTCCGATCAAAAGTGCCCCATGGTTCATAACAGGCGCGCTCAGAGACTATAAAAGCTCAAAGAATAGATTTTCTTTCAGGTGAGTCTCCTTCCTTAGCAAAATTAATGATGTCAGTTCTTTCTTTCTGGACCAATTGAGGATTAGATTGCCACGAGCAAAAGTGGGCGATAAAATATGCGAAGTAACTGGAGATAAGGCAGTTAACAGGTTGACATGCCTTAGTTGGTAGAGCAATTCACAATTTACGCGAGTTCGGTTCCGACTTCAACTCAAGAATACAAATATTTCGACTTCGGTGTGTTGCACTGTATCGCACCCAATTGAAGGCGTTTTATGTTGGCCCGACCACAACCTACGGAAAGTGGAGTCTTGATGTTATGTCATAGAGTGCTGCTTAGCTACATTAGTTGAATGCAAAATAATGAGAACTTTTCACTCATATGTCAGGAGGAGCTGATGACTTTTCGGGTTGAAATAAAGTATTCAGCTTTATTTGAGAAACATGATAAAAGTCTGACTTTTTTATACCGAGAAATCCCTTTCCCATGTTAAATATAGTTCCCGTCAAAAAGTTCTATCTGATATTGAGTTTCGAAAAAATCGATTGAACCCACTCGTTAATGAGGGCGCTCAACGGAGCTCACAATGTCAGCGCAGATACCTGTGCGAACCCGTCCTACCGCACAGTGGATCGAGTCAATAGGAGAGGGCGAACAAAATTTGGATACTTGAAACGCTTATATCTCCGTTTATACAAAATTAAAAGTACGGTTAGTGGTTCAATTGCTTTTCTCGTGAAATATTCTTCAAGAGAAACCCCTTAAAGACTGTAAATTTAAGACAAAAATTGTAAACTGATTCGGCAGACGAACTCATACGATAGTATGTTGGAGTTTTTTGCCAACGTGCGTTAAAAATTCAGCATAAAGCTGAAAATCTCAATACAGAGGGAAAAAGCTCGTTCAAGCACAAATTTTCCGATTGAGCGAAATTGAGCGATTGTATTGAGATTTTCAGCTTTATTCTGAATTTTTAACGCAAGTTGGCAAAAAACTCCAACATACAAAAATTATCTGGTAAATTTCATATTTTTTCATGGTTTCAGTAATTTTATTGCGAAGGATGAAGTTGCACAACAATAGCACCATTGCAATGCTTCTGGTTCCTTTTTGCAAAATGCAATCCAATTGAGGCCACGAGCAAGAGGGGGGATAAAATATGCGAGGTAACTTGGGATACGGCAGTTAACAGGTTGACATGCCTTAGTTGGTGGAGCAATTCACAATTTACGCGAGTTCGGTTCCAACGCCAACTCAAGAATTCGAATATTTCGACTTTGGTGTGTTGCACAGTATCGCACCAAATTGAAGGCGTTTTATGTTGGTCCAACCGCGACCTGCGGAGACGAGGAGTCTTGATGTGTTGACTTTGAGTGCTGCCTATGGCTCATGAGTACTTTTCACTCATATTGGTGTTAGGAGGAGGTGATGACTTTCCGGGTTGAAATGAAGTATGAAGCTAAGGAAAAGGATCGATGGGCTCGACAGAGTTTTGGCAACTAACACCTTGATAATCGATTCATTACCACAGCTTTAAATGGGGGAAGAATCGATAATCGATCATTAGCGCCACGCCACTGGTTATATGGATTTCTTCGTGAAATATTCTTCAAAACACACCCCTTTCAGTTTAAAATGTGGCGAAATAAACAAACATTTGTGGTTTAAGTCGAGTAGGCTGTTAGTTCAGTTTTGGGCAAAGGATAGCACTTACAGCTGTCTTGCCTACAACTAGTCTTACGTGAACATGAAAAATACCTTTTGAACATAGTTGAAAATGAAATTCGTCGGTTATTAATCATCCAAACGATTTGAGAGTGCCCTTCGGGTGATCGGTGGAAATTCGACCAAGATCGAAGGCTCAATGAACTTTCCTGCACAGACGCTTCTGAGCGCATTATCTCAAAACCTTATTTCTGCTACGGCTCACAGTAATTGGTTTTCACACAGTGGTTTTTTCGTAAAATTTTCTTCTATTGGTGCCCCTGAAAGTTTAAATTGTGACGAAATAAACATCGAAATTTGCGGTTTTAGTCGGAAAGAGCGACGCCAAAAACGACCGTTTTTTGGCACAATTTGGGCCAGAAGGGATTTTTCTGAAACCGGGCCAAAACGATACCTTATGATACCCTAAAACTCTGGTAAAAATTTTAGCTTGAGTATACGCACCGTTTTTGAGAAATGGGGGGGGGGCAAAGTTGCCAAATCGCCATCATTCTGGACAGCATTTTTACAGCAAAAAGACGGGAAAAATGGACGAAAAAGTTACATTATTGATGGGTTTGGGCTGTAAATGTTCTTATTGAGCCCCCGTGCATGTAACTGTGTTCAGTTTCAAAAATTTTGGACGTACAGTGGTCCAAAATGGGGAGAAATCGTGGACAGATAAGGATTCTTTGTCAAACTTTTTAAAAATGGAAGTAAAAGTGTTGGTCTCCTGCAGAGATCATGTGGAACAATGTTCTTATCGGTCTTCAATGCATTCAATTGAGTTCAGTTTATCAAATTTTCATCGCACAATGGTCCAAAATGGGAAATCAGTGGACAAATTAAGATCTTCTGCCTAACTTTTTAAAAATGATGTACGACTATTGGTCCCCTGCAGAGATCATGGGGAACAATGTTCTTATCAATGCATTCAATTGGGTTCAGTTTATTAAATTTAATTAAAAAGCTAAGTTCCTCCTGAATTACCGTTTTCAGACCTCGTTTGTCGGTGCCGGACACGGGAGCTGTCAGCAATAGATTTCGGGTGCAGATTGCAAAACGACGGTGGTGGCGCAACTGCGGATTGCACAGGAGTTAGGGCGCTCCGCGAGAATATATGAACAATACCTATACAGGGTGATCCAAAAGTCCCTTCCACCCCCTCTAACTTTTTACCTAATTGAGGTAAAGATTTGAAACTTGGGGGATATTCCTAGGTCAAAGGAAGAGTCCCTTTATACCCGGAGTTAAGACAACTCGATTATCAGCTGACTGGCAGCCGGCCTTGGCTGGCCATGGAGGCCGAAACGAGTGCACCCAAACGAACGATATTGAGGGATAAGGATCAGGAATCCTGCGATGTCTGTCAAACAAAAACAACAACATCAACAAATTGATCAATTAAAAAGAAAATGAAATTGGTTTGTGAATAATTTCTTAATCTATTTTCATTTTGGACCGATGGAAATAACAATTTACCCTTGAAAAACCACAATTAGGTAATATTTTCATTATTCTTGTTCACATTCGAGGTACCGCCATCTTGGTGCACTCGTTTCGGCCTCCATGAGCGAGAACCAATCAGAATTAGATTTTTTTTAGGCCACTTTCAGCCCAACCAAAAGTGAGTTGTCTTAACTCTAGGTATAAAGGGACTCTAGTCAAAGGGAGCTACTTTTTGGCCCCCCTAAAATTTTCACGGAGGCCCCCCTAAAATTTGTCAATTGAGTGCAATTAGTATTTTAATCCCGGTTAAATACTCGACTTTATCTAATTTATCTTCTCGCGCAAACTAGTCGCAGGACTGTATGAGCCCCGTCCCGTGGAGACGGTAACTGGGAAAAATCCCAGAAGTTTCATTCCTGCGATTCGAACTTGGGACAAATCCTTTGAAAACGTCCCGTGGAGACAAGGCCTTACCTTTCTCCTC